GGTATTAAACACTTTAATAAAAATATGTTTCGACCTTCTTAGGTCATCTTCAGGTTAACAAAGACAGTTTGAAACTGACCATAACTGGGTACATGTCTTAGGGAGGAGAGTGTGAACAGGTACGAGATTATAGGAGGCATAGCAGTTAGATGTTAGGTGATTAATATAGGTATAAAGTTGGTTCAATTTTCGTTTGAGTTCTTGTATAAGTAGGCCTTCTTTGATTTTTCGTTTGTTTCTCTACTTAATATGTTGGTGTTTCTATGCTTATATTGTGTTTAATTTGCAGTGTTCAAAAACATGGGAAGGTGTTTTTTTGTGTTCATTGAATCTGGTTTCCATTTTTCAGCTTGTTTCTCCAATATAGAAGTCATGGCAGTTGTTACATTGTATTTTATAGATAATGTTGGTGCTATGTTTCTCAATGTAGTTTTTACATACTATGAATTATAGTTTTGTGTCTGGTTTTTGAATGAATTTAGTGTTTATTGGAATGTTGTGTTTTGTTGTAAGTTTTTCCAAATGTTGATTATTTTATCGCTAATATCAAGAATATATGGTATGCAACAGTGTAAAGTTTTATAGTTAATTGTTTCATTGAATTTATTAGTGTTTGTTTGTTGTTCATTGTGTTGTTGGCCTAGATATGTGTAAAATTTTTTCAACAGTTTTTGAGAGAAATTTATTGATGCTGATGAAATGTTTTAATTGTTTGATTTCCTCGATAATTTTATCGGGGAAGCATAGTTTTGTGGCTGTGTTTATTTGGTTTTTAATATGTTGAGTTTTGTTTTGTTTCAAGTGCTGAGTCCTAGGGAATGTATAGCCCAGTATGGGTGATTTTTCTATGGATTTCTGTTTTGAATTGTGTATCGGTTCTTGTGATCATGAGGTTGAGAAATGTTATTTGTTTAGCTTTTTCACATTTGAATCAGAACAAAGTCAAAAACCTAACATCATGAGAATAAAACATGAAGTTAAGGACAACTATACCAGAACTGGCCCACTCCTGCAATACCAAACGTATCTGGTCATAGTCAGTCATCCAACATATGTACAGATCCTCCCCACTTGATGAAATATCATATCTAACTCACAGGATCCCTCCAGGCCTTAACCAGGCAGACGAGGTCCCACATCTTATCATTGGAATTATAGAGCTATGGAACCAAAGCTAGATCCAAGGCATAGTGGCTATGGCATGAGGACTGCAATGTGGTTTATCATTAGTTTTGTTTTACTATTGTAACCCAACCTGAAAGTTACAGAATACTGCATGTGGATTAACCAGAATTACAAAGAGAAGACAAACTCTTCCCCCAATCTGAACAATCTGAAGAAGCGCAAAATGCAACAAACCAAACTTGCAATTATGGGACCTTTCTCATCTCACCCAACCTGAAAAAACAGAGATTACCTGGCCTGGGATTACGAACAGAAATCCTAACTACCCAACCTGAGAGGCAAGGCAACACCTCCCACACCCCCGGAATTATGAGTAGGATGTGGAACAAACTAAGTCCAACCAATGGCACAGGAATTGATGCTCAGCATGCAGAATTATGAGGATTTGAAGACCTGCTTCTAATATCACTGAAATGAAGATAATGACCAAAAAGAAGGGCCACACTCAACTCAACTGGATAGCAGAATTATGAGAAGGTTCCCCACGTAGGCTGGTCCTGCTCCCACCATACATCTGGGAGAACCATCCAGGATTATTGGAAGGAGGGCACCCAGATTTGCCCTCTTCTCCTTGAGTGGAATAATGAGTTGAAGCATCACTCAGGAGGAATAGACCTCTGTCCACCACTCCAGTGACTGAAAACTGAATGGTAAGAACTCCCACACTCCACTAGAATAAATGGGGGAATACTCGTACTGGGAAGTCAGAGGAATGATGCTCCAGAGATAGTGCAATAGGTGAACCATGTTCCCTATTTTGAAAAGCAAACTGACTTGATTCATTCAATCCAGGGGTCAGCAGGAATGGGCAAAATCGTTTTATGCTTTACTCATGATAGTCTATAAGTGGCAATCCAGTAGTGTATATAATTGTTTACCACCTGAAAAGCCACAAGGTGGTCTTATGGAACATTCCATCTCAACAGAGCTTGTTACTACCAGGAAAACTTTTTATCAGTCAACTAATAGGTTGTGGAGATATGCAAAGAAGCATACCAGACCAGGTAACATCTGCCACTGAGTGAAATCCAAATAAAAATGACAAGAGGATCCCTGAAAAAGAATAAAAAATAAACAAAAAAAAAATGAAGTCACAAGGCGACTCTGTGTCAGAGATGTGAATTTGTGAATTCATATCCAAACATGTCTCAGAATGTTTTTGTTTTTTGTAAAATAAACAAAATAGACAACAAACTCATAACCCAATAAGACAGGTTTGAAAATAAAAATCATTTAAAGCATAGGTATAACTAAAGCTATTGAACACTGAAGAAAAAACCACAGCAAGTAAAACTGTTGTCATAACATTTTGCTGTCAAGAAAGGTGAATTGGAAGTAATAATGGGAAAATTATATTTCAATCTGGGATGTTGACATAGGTGGAGAGAATCACAATGTTTATCTTGCTCTGGACAATATAGTGGGATATAAAGGTAAGTAAAGTAAAATTCATACCAATGCTTAGATTAGCAGAAAAAGAGCAGTCTTTCATTGAGATAAAGCTTCAGTGTGAAAAGAGGCAAGTGTGTTTCAGAACAAGCTTTTTAACTTTAAATTTGTCACTAAATACTTCAAATTTAGCTCCAGAACAAGATTTCACTGTCCTGAAAATGCTTAAAATTAAAATTTCAGCTTGACCTGACCTATGCTGTGGAAGGATCCCCAGACCCCCCTTCTACTTTTGACATTTACCCTTCCACTTTAAATAATGACAGCTCTGCATTCCTCTAGTGTAATCATTTTGAGGCATGGTTATCACTAGATTATAAATTCTTTTACTTAAAGGCATATAATACTATTTAAAATATAGGTTTTTACAAACATTAATTTTGTTGCTTAAAGACATATAATACAGCTTTTTACAAATGTCTGTTCTGTTGCTTAAAGGCATATAGTACTATTGATAATATACACTTTTACAAAATTATAATCTTTTGTTGAAAGGCATATAATGATATTGATAATATACACTTTTATAAAATTATATTCTGTTACTTAAAGGCTTCTAATACTATGGATAACATACACTTTTACAAAAATACATTCAGTTGTTTAAAGCAACAGTATGCACTAAAGAGTTAAATAATTTTTCCACTTAAAGGTCAATGTACTCCACCCACTTCACTCATGCAATCTTCACGTTTTCCAGCTTCAACTGTCCCTACAATATAGAAACTAAATGGTATTTAACTGTATGTATCCATAACCATACACGAGGATGTATTTCAGAGCAAACCACTTCCTATTATCTACCCATGCTTCTGCTACTCACACATCCATTGAAATAAATAGGATTATAATTCATTAAGCAGACATTAAAGTTTCAGCAACTTTTAAATACCACACTTTACAATTCTATAAAAAAAAAGTATCTTTATTAAATAAAATGTCTTTACTTTAAGTAACATCTCTAAATTTTGTTCAATTAAACTTGTTTTAATACTCTTATTTTAATATATCTTTTCTGTGGCTAAGTATATATTTTGTTTTCCAGAAATATGTTATATTCATTTTCCTGTTTTAACCATCCTGTTGTTTAACATTTATAAATTCCTTGTTATAGAAGTTTATAGTTTCACCTATAATTCCATAATGAGTTTTATGTGTTGTGTTACGACAGCAGAAGTCACTCTACTAGACACACTAGAATCAGAATCATCATCACTTGCTCTACTAGACACACTAAAATCAGAATCATCATCATCATCATCATGATCTCCATAATTGTTTCAATCTTCATCAACAAGAGAATCAGTTTCATTGTCCATGTCTGAATTCTATTTCTTGGCTGTACATTCTACATGTCATGAGGATTTGTATCAAATTTCCATTTCCTCCTTTTTTGCCATAAAATGCTAACATTACTTTTCATTATTTTGTATTTGTTCATACTATATTGTTAAGATAACGGAAGTCAATCAACCCTGGGAGCATGCGCATAATTCATCATCCTTCTAGAAACTCCAGATTATCTGCATATCTATCTCTGCCCTCATGCTGGTTTTTCTCGCCAGGCTTATATACTAAAAAAGAGGGTGCCTGGCAAACACTCGGACATTCATGGAGTTCCTCAACTAGGCGCCCTCTTTTTTAGTATATAAGCTTTGCGAGAAAAACCAGCATGAGGGCAGAGATAGATATGCAGATAAATTGAAGATATAGATAATTGAGTCAAGCAAACAGTAGGCACCGTAAGTAAAGTGTGTGAACCACTGTGATTTATAGCGTGTGTTATAAAGTTTGTTAAGTTTAAAGTGACTGTGGAAATTCTGTATATTACAAAGCTGTATCGAGAAAGAATAAACAAGTTTTAATTAAGAAAGGACTTGTATCGCTGAAGTTCCTCAGAAAGAATTTATATCGGATATTAAGGAAATTAACAAACGAGCAGATATGTAACAGTTGTTTGTACTTATATTATTTGTTATTAATGTATAAATTTACTGAATAAGTTTCGAAACATCCAATAAACATCTTATTTGTCATTTTTGTAGACAATCAAGTTGTTTATCATTAATGTACAGTAATCCTAAGCTGGTTAGATATATAAATGCACTTTAATAACACATTTCCTCAGACCATTCCTAAGTGAATTATCTCACACTGGTAACACTTTTTCTGTTCAAGTATACAAAGTGTTCTGAGCTCTATGAAGAAATAAGCCTACGAATAAACCTACAAATCTAGAAACTTTCCGTTAAACATACAAGTAGTCTTATAGCCAATTAAAACCTAGTTTCTTGTCTCTTAATATAAGAGCTAACTTAACTTTTCTAACAACAAGATAGGTAAAAATAACAAAGTAACATACATACTTTGGAATAATCACCAAATGACCAATTCCCTAACATTTCAAAAAATGTATGATGATACGCATCCTTGCCAACGTCCTGGAGATCATTATGTTTTCCACCAACACGGATGCATTTCTGGCTATTGGTCGCTCTCTTCAGAGTATTTAATGGGTTATCAGAAGGTAGAAGTCCCAAGAAGATTGGTTTGAACTGAAAAACCATATAAGTTTATAATGTAACTAAATGCAATTATGGCTGTATAGCACAAACACACAAGCCTGAAATATGGTATTAACTACAAACATATGTACTTCGTTAGAATGTACACTTCTTTACTACCACATCCTCCTTGAATTTCTATTCAATTCTATGTAGTGCGGACTGAACTGAAGAGGAAGGACTTTGAAAAGTTAAGCTCTTATAAATTTGTGAATGAACAATAATTTGTTGTAATTTGGGTTAAATAACACAATAATAACTAGATATAGTAAGCTTGGTAAATAAAAGTAAGAGAGTCAATGTTTTAACTTGAGTTTAGAGGTGTAAATTACTAAAACATTAAAATAGGTTTAGTACATGTTACGGCACTTTAGGCTTAGGTATATTTCAACTTACTGGTAAATCATAAAACAGATATATATTAAATATATTGATTTTATTAAATAAGTACAATCTAAAACTAGTTTATTGTCTCTTGGTGTTTTAACAATTAACTTGTTTACTTGAACTCAGATCTATTAGTTTAAATTCAGCTTATAGATATAGGTAGGTTATAATATAAATCTGGCTAAATACATTCTATTTTTAATGTTATGTATATTTTTCTAATAAATTATTAAGTTCTGTATAATTAAAGATAAACTTTATTACTTTAGTGTGAAGACAAAGTAGTGATCAAAAATAATATAACTGGTTCTTAAACATTAGGCTTAACAGTAACAATGTTAACAATAGGCTACTGGTATTTGGTATTGAGTATTTATTTTCAGGCTATAAGTATAAATACAATGGTTAAGACTAGTGTACGAGTTAAGCATTCACAGTTTGTTAGGTGTAATGAGTTCAATGAGTAGGTTTTATTTGGGAACCCAGGACTGGCATGTACTTTTAAAGAAGCCAGTAATGAAGACGTGTAATTTTTCTGTAGAGTTTGTAGATTGGGGGTAAAGTTGGAGGCAACAGATAAAGGGAAGTGTAGACTGTAGGAAATGGCAGCACGAAGGAAGTTATAAAAAGTAATAATAGGGCTAAAAGTAGTGAATTTAGTTATAATGAGCCTATTCTGTTGAACAACAAATTTCAACACTTGGCTTTTGCAGATGAGGAACTATAGGAGGGAAAGAAACAAAAGGGTCAGAGAAGGATGTGGATGATAAGGAGGTTATAGTTATAGGTGATTCCTTGATAAGGCATGTGTATAGGATAGTTTGTGGGGTAAATAGGGAGAAAAAAATCTGATTATGCTACCCAGGGGCAAAGGTGAAAGATGTAACTGATAGAGCAGGAGATATAATAAAGGAGGCTTGCAAAAATGCAGTTTTTATGATGCATCTAGGGGCTAATGATGAATGGAAAGGTAGGTCAGAGGAGCTAATTAGTATGTACAAGGAGTTGATAGAGGCATTTATAGAAAAAGGCCATAACTTAATTTTGTCAGGGGTACTGCCTAGAAACTGTGGGGATGAAGTTATAAGTAGGTCACTAGGGCTAAATGCTAGGCTTAGGTTAGTATTGTTACGACAGCGGAAGTCAACTGACGCTGGTAACATGTAATGCGTTCTAGAAAGATCAGGGAACATCACGAATAATCCAGTTATTTCTAGGTGCCCTCTGTTCTTGTATATATAAGTGTGCCAGATAATTAACTGGGATTGTATAGCGAACAAAGAGATTGAAATTATTGACGGACAGTTGAGTCAAGCGCGGTAATAAGTAAAGTGCGTGAATCGTTCGTTGAGAGTTATAACGTGTTTTTATAAAATTAGTTAAGTTAAAACGACTGAGGAAATTAAGTGTATTGCAAAGTTGTATTGAGAAAGGATAAACTAGTTTTATTTAAGAAAGGACTTGTATCACTGAAGTTTCTCGGAATGAATTTCAATCGGAAATTATCAAACGAGCAAAGACATAACAAATTGGTGTCAGAGAGTGGGACTGAAAAAAAAAAGAGAGAAGAAAAAAGATGGAAACGAGAAGTGGCAAATCAAATAACAGCTTAGCATATTTGATAGCAGCAATACAAAAACAGCAAAAGAAACAAGAAGAACGAGAAAAGAAACAACATGAGAGATTACAGCAGTTGTTGGAGGAAAAAGAAAAGAAACAAGAAGAACGAGAAAAGAAACAACATGAGAGATTA